TCGGAGGAATCATTTCCCCTGCTTGAAACACTTGTTATAAAAAATTGTAGTAAGCTAGAGGAGATCCCCCTTAGCTTTACCGATATTCCATCATTGAAACAGATTAAGTTGATTGGGTCTTGGAAAGTATCTATGGAGGCTTCAGCTGTGAGAATTAAGGAAGAAGTCGAAGAGATTGAAGGATGTGATCGTATACACCTCGTCAAAGAACTGGCAGATTAGTGAGGGTTTTAATAGCTAATTATTGCAGCCATGCTCATACTGAAGTCTAGCCCATTCTCTTTTATTGTAACACGACTACTATTTGCTACGTTTGTTTTAATTGATAAAACTCTTTTTATGTATGATTGGAGACAAATATATGTTGACACCCAATTTCAAGTTCAAACGATTTAAAATAATTAGTTTTATAGTTTCAAAGATAATAATATATTTTTATATATATATATATATATATATATATAGTCTGCAAGTTATTTTAAATAACTTTTGTCACTTATTATAATTTTTGGACAATACTTATATTTTATATAATTATGCATATAATTAGTATATTTCAAGAATATTCAAAAATCGTCTCAAAAAGATTTTTTATTAAATCTTCAATTGGAGTAATTGGGTTTAAAGTGTATTTATAATTTTATGTTATTTAGCTTATTAGCTTAATTATTTTATTTCGTTAATTCGAGAAGCGTGTTTAAGTTGTGATTATAATTTTAGATTAATTAGTTTGCGATTTTATTTCGTTGAAGTTAAGAAGATCTTTATTTAATTTATACTAATTCGTCTTATTTAGTTTTTCGTCGAACAACCAATTAAATTCAATTCGGCTAGCTTCGTAATTTCCATTTGGCCATAACCACGTTCATGTGGCTATTTTCCTAAGCCAATTCCTCAAACCCATTTTAAGACCAAGAATTTGGGCCCTCTACTCCTAGTTTTTCAGCAACCAAACTACCCAATTCCCAAAGCCCACCCCAATTACCTCCAACACACCAAAATCAGCCCAAAACCCATTCCCTTTTTGTTTTCCAATTCAGCCGAGCCCAACTCCCAATTTCCAGCCCAATTCCTAATATTACTATACAACACCAACATAATACACACAACATACAAAATAACCAATTCAGCAAACTGACAACATACACTCCCCTGTACGTTTCACCCTTCTTCTTCACGCAGAAAATGACCAAAAACGAGCCAGCAGCCCAGAAAATCGTGCAGCAGGCAGCAGGCACGCGGCTGTCCCATTTCCTCTTCCGAAATGGGACGAAACTTGCAAGAAAAAGGTGTCGTCCTAAAATGGGAAAAGTTTGGGAGTTTGAATTTGAATGGGCCTCGTCCCCATCCGAAAATCTCCCGCCCTTTTCTCCCCATTTTAACCCTAATTTCGCCTTTAAAATGTCCTCTTCTCCATTCATATAAAGGGGGAGGTTCTTGACGGATAGAGAAGAAAAAAAAGTCGGATTTTGATTTGAGAAAAAATACACACAAATAGCTTAAGCGAAAATAGCTAAAACACCTACTAAATACCTCAAGGAAAACAGAGGAGGAGAACTAATTTCAGTATTTTGGGTCCAATATTCTGCCTAGATTTCCTAATCGCTGCTAGTGTTTGAACTTCGTGGTGGAAGAGTCGTAGTCGTCGGCTTGTTGTCCTTGTTCGCTGCACTTCGAAAGGTAAAATCTCTTCATAGTGTTCTTTCCGCCCTTTCTTATACCTTAGAGCGACATTCTGATGATTGGATCCTTTTTTTTTTTAGTTGGTTGTTGGTTGTTAGTTAATACTAAGTTTGATGTCGCTTTAATGTGATGTGTATGTTCTGAGTCGTTATGTTAAGTCGGCGTAATAGTGAGTCTAGTCTTTGAAGATTCATTAGAGTTTCTTTGCCCTTTCTAATCTATCTGCCTTTATCTGTAAGCATCCTTAAATGTTTCCTTTTAATGAGTTAAATGAGTATGCGGATTTCGTGTCATGGTGGGTGCTACGCCAAAGTCTTGAAGTTAGTTAATGCGGAGGTTCAATATTGTTGTTTCCATTATCCATTAGATGCGATAGCCTGTTTGTCCTCCATTTCTTTAGGTTCTCGGGATTATATGACGATTGTCTTGTCGTGTTTGAACTAGTTTGATGTTAAGTTTGCATATTTGAAATCCATTATGTTTAAGTTCTCCATGTTTTGCTAATCAGTAACCTGCATGTTATACGGATTTGGTTTTAAGTAAGATGTATTATTTCCTTTTTCATATTCGGTAAAGTCTTTTGTGTGTAGTTAAAATAATAGCATGCTATTAATAATAGTCTTGGGCTGTTTCACTTTGCTATGAGTTTCACCGTCTCGGACTATAGAATCTCATAATGTGTCACTAAGAGTTTATTCTATCGTTATCACTGTTTCTTTTGTTGGAAATTTTCAAACTCTTATTACTTTCAATTATTTAGCACTAGTATATTTCAAAATGATGTAACATATGTCAAGATTTGTTTATTTTCCACATGTCTTCCTTTCTGTTAAAACTAAAGTTGAAACTATTCTGGAAATGGACATATGTGTATGTAAGCATGCATGAGCTTGTAAGCTAGATTTACTCATAATTATGGAATAAGCGTTATCTGTTAACTTCCTCTTACTAGATTTACTCATAATGGGGTATGGGCCACAACTTCTGTTTTGTTTTAAAATAAAGAATAAAATATACATATTGTGTGGAGCGTGATATTTAACCGAGCTCATTGTGTTCTCATAATTATTTTTTGTCAATTGATTGCCCCTGATTATTTATTTTCAATTTATTCGTTTTGGTTTAGTTGAAATATGTTTGATCATATGCCTTGAGATTTCCTTATGCTTAGATTGTAATAATCCAGTAGTAAATATATCACTTCCTGTCATGCCTTGATTTGCTTTCTGTCACTATTAAGCCATGAGTTGGAAAAATAACAAGGGCTTCTCCCTATCGACAAAGTGGTATTCATTTGTCTTATGGTGTATTAGTTGCATGTTGGTTTTCTAAGTGATTAAGTTACCCTTTACTTCAATCGAATTATGCTTCATTTACTTCTCTGTCTCATATACTAATTTTATTCTTTCTTTCGTTTCTTGTATGTAACACCTTCCGAGTCCTCTTGGACTCCATCTCTCCCCACTTCATATTTCGGATGGGCCACAGAGGCCCAAAATTTATCTAGTCAACCGGGTCAATGAATTCGAAGAACAAGTCCTTCACAAATTGACGAACAGGGATTAGAGTTGATGCAGATTTCTATACACTAGGTGTATACGAAAAATGGGAGAAGGGGGTTCAAAAGACCCACTCCTTATTTTATAAGTTGTATTTTGTTATTTTAGGGCCTAAGCCCTTGTCATTTTACTTATTATTGCATTGCTAGAATTTAGGACAGGTGGCAAGAATTGGGCCTTAGGCCCAAAACGAAAATAGGCCCAAGTACTGGCCCAGGCGAACAGAAAACCAGACTCGGGCCTAAAACTCACTCTCTTTATTTTATCTATTTTCGTATTTGTTTAATTGTTTATTTGCTAGTCAATTTTAAGGTTTTTCTAATTCGATGTCCCCAAAGGATAGTCATTTCAAGATTTTCTAAAGACAAAATAATTTTACTTATTTTATTACTTGAATTACTTTGAAATATTTTACTTACGTAATCTCTTATATTATTTCCCTTTCACCTAAAAAATGATTTTTAGTCTTAAAGTTTGTTTATCTCCTAAACTCGTTTAAGCATGCCTCTATTAGCCAAATACTTTAATTGCCGGATAACCGCATTAGCGGGTGTTCTAGATGCTTTCAAACCCTTCCTAGAACACTAATAAGAACCCCGAACCCCTTTTAAGGTTTTCATTAGATTTCTGTTTTAGTCTTTTGAAAACAATAGTTTTCTTAATTTTACTTTAAAATTAAGTGGCGACTCTTAAAATAAGACTAAATTATACTTTATAAATAAAACAGAATGGCGACTTCCGCTGGGGATTTGAATAGGTTCTAACCTTAAAATTAACTTATTTGGCTATTTGTTTAAATTGCTTACTTGTTTCAATTCTTGTAAGTTATAAATTGTTGCATTTCATGGCATCCGATTCCGCCAAATGGCAAATAGATTGCATTAGGAAAAAAGGCTGTTACGTGGCTTTCCACGACTGTCCTTCAGAAAAACACCTTCAAGTTCTTTTGAAGTGATAAACGAATAGTTGGTTTGTGGTCATCCAACGTCGTTTATTATACTTCACCCCGTAGTTAGTCCAACTCGGGTAACCAGGTCTTGTCTAAACCAACTCTTAGTCAACTAGCGTAAAGCGAAACCAAATCCTTTTAGTGCATTGAACTAAGATGACCCAACACCCAAGGTGTGTTGGGCCCATTAGAAAGACAACCTTGAGTCCAAAATGGCCCATGGCCTAAACGGACGATCATACTTATGTGTTAAATTTGAAGGATGTATACGTTGTTTGAAAAATCATTGTTCCTTGGGGGTTAGGAGTGTAATAGTTTGTTCTAGTCGAAGATGGAGGTGTACAATCTATTATTCCATCCAAAGTGTGGACATCCGGAGATGACAAGAAATCAAAGACGAAGGACTTTCCGTGGAAGCACAGTTTAGAATTGTACCCCTGCGCGGGACTGATTATTTTGTATCCTATTTCCCATATCATGTATCCTCATTCAGCTTATTCACAAAATTTGTATAAATTCGGGTTTTGGGCAATAAAATGTTTCAAATGACGTATACATCCTTCAAATCGTTAGGCCTACCCTTGGCATAAAAGGGTCACATATTTGTTATTTGTTTAGAACGCGCAATATTTGTTTAGGTGTTGTAACTGTTTGTGTGAATATGTTGCTTTATTTGAAGACGTTCTAGCCTACTCATCTTGGAATTTTAGCGGATAGGCTGGATTGGTTGTTATAGAGGGGTGCTAATCTTCAACAACTTCACATCAACTTTGAGCATAGTTATTCTGCAGATTTGTTTGGTGATGATTATGCAGTCTTTTTGTCTCACATTGGAGAATCTTACCCAGCTTCAAATACTTCGCCTTTCCATTGAGAGTCCCATAGTTTTATCCAGGTCACATTTGCCTTCAAATTTAAAGAAGTTGGTACTATTTGAGACTGTAAGTGTGATTTCCTTCATTACGGAACTACCAAACCTGGAGTATCTCCACATAGAACAGGCTTATTTTATAGAAAATGAACCGTGTTTGTCTCAATCAGAAGAAAGGTGCCATGAAGATATCACATTCCATAAACTTAAGTTCTTGAAACTGGTGAAATTAGATATCTCAAGGTTGAATGCCTCAGAGGAATCCTTTCCCCTGCTTGAAACACTTGTTATAAAAAAGTGTCGCAACCTAGAGGAGATACCCCTTAGCTTTGCATATATTCCAACACTGAAACAGATTAAGTTGATTCGGTGTAGAAACGAATCTCTGGAGGCTTCAGCTGAGAGAATTAAGGAAGAAGCCGAAACGATTGAAGGATGTGACCGGATTGACCTCATTATCAAAGTAAGTAGAAACAAACTCTTATGTGCTGTTTTTGAGTATCTATGTGCATCTAATTTGATTTACAATACAGAGTCGATAGTGAAATCCAAGGCAGATGTGAATCAAGCATGTGCCTTCAACCATTGGCAATTGCTTAGACAACCGCAGACAGATCGAGTGGATGGAATTCATTTCTTAGCTAATTAATGTTGCAGACATGCTCATGCTCAGGCTCATGCTCATGCTCAAGTCTATTGTAAGGTTATTGCCGAAACGCCCATATATCCTCTTATATTGTAACACTAGTACCTATTGCTAAGTTTGTTTTGATTGATCAACTCTTTCAATGTATGATATGATTGAAGACCAGTATTTATCAGATAGTCTTTCACAGTTATTTCTTGTTGCCTTCGATAAACATCAATCCATTGTTTATTTTTTGCTTTTGTAATTTGGTGGTTGTTAAATTCTATAATCCCTTCATCTTTAACCTTATTTGCAGCACCTGCAAAATTCAATAAAAAATTATGAAGTATCCCTCTATATTGTTACTACATTAACATATGCGCGACCTAACAACCTGTCAAAGCATCGTTACTGATCAAGGAAGTGGAAGATTTCCTAGTTTCAGCTAGCAAATATCACAAGCTGGATCAACCTTTTCTTTTTAACTCCTTCGGATAATGTTAGGGGATAAAGGGCTCCCTAACAAAGGTGACTTCGTACCCAAGGGAATTCAAATCCGAGACCTCTGCTTAAGGATGAATGAGTAATTATCACTCCACCATAACCCTCGTTGATAACCAATTACTCCATTTACAAGGAAGAATTATCACCACTCCTTTTTTTATCCTTGTTTGGTTTATGACATTTGACTCGACGACTATTCTTAGTCTAATAGTTCTAACATTATTTGGTCAATAAAGGCATGTGAATTGGGAAGACTAGTCTAATACATGAGTTTCAATCATTTTTAAAGAAAAAAACAAGATTAACCTTACACCTACCACCTAAAGCAACTTGCTAATATAATTCATGTATTGTTAACGGTCATGTTTATGTATTATGCCTTTTTTAAATATAAAATTTGATCCATTAGTTTATATTTTGTAAAAAAAGAAAAGAATCATCATTTAAATTCTACAAAAATGGATTCATGTGTCGACCTGAATAGATTGCTTCTCGTTAAATTTGTATATGATTTATGGTTGTCTCTATCGATGCAATAACGTAACAACAACATATTAATTTTTTGGCAAGATCTGAAGCACGTTTCGTTTTCTTATCTTCTTTTGGAAGTTCATCCACCTACCTCTTTTAGAAGTTGAAATTCATACAGAATGAAGCTAATAAATTTGTTCTTGCCAATTGCCATTCATCGATCGTTTGGACTCTGCAACATATGAACTTGAGATATAGTAATATAGTATGACATTCAAGTCCTCTCTGAATACACAGTCGTCTTTGTTAGGGAGCGTTTCACCCCCCAATGTGGGACTTTATTACGTCGCGAATCCAAATTTGGATACCGGACACTGGGTGGGAAACAAAAATTATATATAGTACGACATGAAATGAATAAATAAGCCCGTAAGAACCAAAAAAATCAATGTTTTGTATTATGATTGGGCCTGTTCTGAGAACAGACTCCATTCACAAGATATATGGAAGAATTATCACCACTCCTTTTTTTATCCTTGTTTGATTTATGACATATGATTTATATTTTGTAAAAAAACAAATCATTATTTTCAGTTTTACAAAAATAAACTCATGTTCGACGTGAAATAGATTGTCCGTCATATCATTGTGAAAAGAATTACTAATTACTACTATTGTTGACTAGTGGATCTTTATAAGTTTATGTACATTTGAAAGTTAAAAGAAACATAAATATATGTAATTCATCGATGCGATGCTTTAGATATTATGATATCTTGTTAACGAACGATGATTTACTCATTCGGTAAGATTGCATAAGAATTGAATTTCAAAGTTTTCACAACTTGTGAATGTGAATTTTCATATTTATGAGAAAAAATATAACTTCATGTCCGACCCAATACCCAACCATAAAATCCCTTAATTATATGCCAAGCAAGTATCATAGAAGTGCATAGCTTAAGTATGAAACTAACAAATCACATAAATTTTTGGGGGATTTTCTGAAAGAGTCGTCTGGTGTGAAGTATGAAGTATAATAATTTTGGGATAAAATACAGAATTATTTTATCCTGCGTTTGGTTGGAGGCATATTAGGTACGTAGTCCTTGGATTATGTATCCCATCATTTATATCATAGTGATGGAATATATAATTAATTATGATCCCATATACATAATGAAATAACGTATTCCGGAATAATAACTCTCGAAACAACTTGTTCCAACCAAACAACCCCTAAAGAAAAAGGCAAATAATATAGGTGTATTATTGAGTCATTTTACAGCTACCACCTAAAGCAACTTGCTACTACAATTCATCTCTTGTTAGGTATAAGAATTATTAGAGAGAGAGAGCAGAAGACTCTTCCTTCTTCCTTCAAACCTTCATCCATTTTATTTCAATAAACTTTTTTCTTATTTCACCTATTACGTAAACTTGGAAATATATC